TGTTCCCCGTGTTGTTATTGGTGGTGTTGTTGACGGGGGCTATCGTCGGTCCTGTTGTTCCAGTTGGCTTTCCAGCGCGCTCCCCTATTCCGCCCGGTCCTTTTCTTTGCCGCCGAGCTATGAACAGGTTCCGTCCGAAAGGCCAAAGAGCCCGTGTCGGTAGCTGGTCCGCCCGTTGGTTTCAAGGCATTTTCCTTAAGCCTGAAAACCGGCCCGTTCCTTTCCCTGAACTTTTCGTACTCTGGTTATGGCGAGTACCATAGATGGGATTTGCATCAAGCGAAGGAAGGAGGGCATCTACATCCCATTATCTGCGTCGGTGCAGGGAGGCATATTGGCGTTCACTCCAAAACAAATTGCCGTCACCCAGACTCTCCTCGGATCTCTTTTTTTCCTTTTCTTTAGAATGTAGTAGTTAAAAAGCGAAACATCCTTTTTTAAAAACAAAACAACAAACTAATTGCTTTTATCTCTGGTGTCGTTGAAACGTTTTCGTTGCTAGTATCTCCAAATTTCTCGGCGGCGGTACGCATAGGTTCCACTTAATTTCTAAATGCCCCTCTTTTCTCTCCCCCCCGAAACCCAAAAGTGTGAATATATATAACTGGGTGCATGCGAGGCATAACTTGTGAGGGTTTTTAATACATATACGTAGGCATGTGGGTAGATAACGCCGTTGAACGAGGGTCAGCATCCGAAAACAGATCATTTTGCGTGACAAACATTTCCTGCGAAGGCACTTTTAGCAGCATGCATTTCCTACTTTTTTTAACCTTGATTTTGGAAATGCAGTAAAAGTTGAGACAGAAGCAATGAGTGATTTACAAGTGGCTTCTTCAAAAGAATTCCCAACAGAGATTGCACAAAAAAATATCATTTCAGCAACAATAACAAAAGACAGCGGAATAAAGGGAGTGCAGAAAGCCTACTCTGTAAGACACTGCAAAAATTACATCGGGCTTCTCTTTGTGTATAAGCTCTGTCTCCGAAATTAAAATACATGCTCCTTTTTAACTGTTTGGCAAAGTTAGATTAGTTTCTTCGCGAACATTTTTTGAAGAAGTTCATTTCGAAGGCTGACACAAATTTCGCAAGAGTAATACTAAGAATACATTTCTGGACTAGAAAAATAAAGCGAGATTGTCGTAGAAGCAAGAAAAAAAAAAAGAAAACGGCTTTAAATGTTAGCTACTCAGGAACAGTTCCCTTTCCTACTCGCAAAGTATCCTGGTATTTTATCGCAGTGATTTACCATGATGGTGATATTTTGAAATAAATTCTAAAATTCTGAGCATTTGCAAATCAAGAGCTAAAATATTAAGTTAATAACTGGGCAATTTGCGGTAATAATGAGGCCTAATGAGGTTGCTGGAAAGATAAAATGTTATTTACCAAAACACCTGATGGGATAATTTGACTTGCTGTGTTTTACTACTGATGATAAAAAGAATATTGATTGCAAATAAATCACCGTCTCTAAACGCTTGTAAACAATTTGTGTTTGCTCTTCCCAGATCAAAGTAAAACTTATGAGATAAAGTGTCTGCATATCCATATTCTACAATGCGTGCATGGGTTTTCATTCCAGAGTTTAAAGGCTCTTCTTAACAGTTAGAAGTTAATGTTTTACGCCAGGATCCTAGTGTATGGTCTGGGGGGCGGCGGGGAGGGGGGGTGCGGGGGGAGTTGGCTTGTGTGTGGAAAATCTCTTACATTATAAGTGTCTTCGTCCTGAAGTTGTGCATTCATGTCCCCCGTCTCGTCTCACGCCAACTCCTTTTAAAGGCAGAGCTGGGGCCAAAGGAGAGTGCTCTGCATGCATTTGCAATATCCTCCTGGATATTCTGCAGATAAAGGCGCCGTTGGGCGCAGGCATTAGTTTGCGACTGCGGTGGAGCCCCCGCTTGCTCTGCCTGATCGTTTCGAGGGCGCAGTAAATTGCCTCGCCGAGGCGAACGCGAAGTTGCTGCTTTTCCACCGTTTGATGTGATTCGGTTTGCGGAGAAAATAACGCGTAATGTCTGGCAGAGCCCAGCTTAGCCCCTCTCTTTGCCTTTCCCGGCGAGAAGGGGGGGATCATTTGGGAATACCTCTGTCTGATCTAAACGTGAAGAGCCTGGAGCGGGGAGGGCCGAATTTGCCTGGGAAGACCCTTTGCAGCGCTCAAAGGCGTATTCCGGCTCCCGGAGCAGCCTATTCAGGTCTGTTAGAGACGCTAACGAGATAATTGATGTGCTTTTTCCTCTCCGCTTGTCTGAATGTGTTGCAGGGCTCCCAGTACGAGCTGAAAGATAATCCGGGTGTCCACCCTGCTACCTTTGCTGCCCACACTGCCCCCGGCTATTATCCCTATGGACAGTTCCAGTACGGGGACCCGGGGCGGCCCAAAAACGCCACCCGGGAGAGCACCAGCACCCTCAAGGCCTGGCTCAACGAGCATCGCAAGAACCCCTACCCCACCAAGGGCGAGAAGATCATGCTGGCCATCATCACCAAGATGACCCTCACCCAGGTCTCCACCTGGTTCGCCAACGCCCGCCGGCGGCTCAAGAAGGAGAACAAGGTGACCTGGGGCTCCAGGAGTAAGGACCAAGAAGATGCAAACCTTTTCGGGAGTGACAATGAGGGCGACCCCGAGAAGAACGAAGACGACGAGGAAATCGACCTGGAGAGCATAGACATAGATAAAATCGACGAGAACGACGGGGAGCAGAGCAACGAGGAAGAGGAGGAGAAGCCCGAGCTCCTGAGACAAAGCAGCGAAGAAGAACACTTGGAAAAGGAGAAGGATTTGGCACTGTCAGGGTCTGAAGGGCTGAAACCCAAAGACGCGCTGGCCATGGTGAAGGAGGCCTCTGACAGCAGTACGCGAATCCTCAGTCCCGGGGGACAGAACAATTTACAGATGCCATCTCACAGCAAACCCAAGATTTGGTCTTTGGCAGAGACGGCAACCAGTCCTGACGGTGCCCTGAAATCCTCTCCCCCCCCGCCCCCCCCTCCCCAGGTTAACCACACTTCTCCACAGATCCAGCACCCCGCTTTTCTCCCTAGCCATGGACTTTACACATGCCAGATTGGCAAATTTCACAACTGGACAAATGGGGCTTTCCTCACTCAGAGTTCCCTGCTAAATGTGAGGTCCTTTTTGGGAGTAAATCACCACCACGCCGCTCATCACAATCATCACCTCCAGGCCCAGCAACAACCTTCTGTTTTAACAGCAACCCTGGGAGCCCTAAGCAGTGAAAAACCTTCAGAGAGGACCAGTCCCAAACACATAGGTAATGAATGCACCAAGCATCCACCTCTCCCTCTCTCCACCCCTAACACACACACATGAACTTCTCCTTGAGGAATGGTGTCAGCCCTGGTGTAACTGACTGCTTTTAACGGAGTTACAGGCAGTTTACCCTAGCGTTGATTTTTTTTTCTCTCCCCCCCCGCCCGCTCCCCCCCCGGCCCGAAGCACGTTGATCGCATACATTAAGCCAATTTCATGTGGGCTATTACATTCTCACCATATACGCCCATCAAATAAAAGGAGAGCACAGGAATTGCTCTGTGAAAGGTATTCTCTGAGTTTTGCTTTCCTTCCCTCCTTCCTGATCCTCATAACCCAATAATTTCAATGACAGTCAAAAATGTGGCAAGAAAAGCTTGCATACTGCTAAAATCTTGGAAGTAGGGAATAGTGCTGTGCAGACACACATATATACCTACACATGCCTGAACAAGAGGGCGAGAGGGAGGTGTGTTCTCTGCATGCTGTCCGGATTTTTACTGTTGGTATTCTAAAATGGTTCTCCTGTTTTTGTTTTTGTTGTTGTTTTTTTTTTTTTCTTCTGTCTCCTTCTAGAAAGAGAAAATGTACCGAGAACCGAATCCCCACCTCAGCCGCTAAAATCGCCCTTCCAGCCTGTCCGTGACAAGTGAGTTTGTTTGTTTGTTTTCACTGCAGGAATGTTACTTATGCGAACCAGAGTGTTTGAATAATAAAGACTAATTATAACACCTAATCATCGCCATAATAATACATACAGACAACAAGACAAACACAGAAGTTGCTGTAATCTTTTCAAAGTTAGGCTAAATTGCAATTGTACGTAGCCAGCCTGTAACTTTTCTGAAACTTAACAGACCTCAAAGCTCTTGTGTTAATTACACCAGTGACAATGATTTCTGTGCAATTAACTAATACTAGGATGCTATAGCGATAGACAGGCAATTATAGGAAAGGATTCTCTCTCTTTTTTTCTGAAAGATTGTTACGTCTTTTTTTTTTTTTTTTTTTTTTTTCCTTCCTCCCTCCCCCCCCTGCAGCTCTTTGGCTCAGCAAGAGGGAGCACCGAGAATTTTAACAGCTCTCCCTTCCGCTTGATTAAATGGTTTGGTGAAAAAAATATTACAGAGACTGGTATTAAGGACAGAAAAAAAAAAAAAAAGGAAACGATATAAACGACTCCCATCAATCTCTTTTTGCAATAAGGTGGTGCAAATCCATAAAAGCGATTACACAAATCTGTAGATGGATCCCCTTCTTCATTGTACCATTTCAGATCGTGTTATTCTAACCATTCTTGGATTATTTGTTTGGTAAATGTTTCCCATGTGTTTGTGTTTTTTCTGTATATAGAGTGATTTCAGATTGTAAATAGCGCGTCAGCAAAACTTGTCTAAATCATATATTTTTGTCTAATAAACTAAATGAAATTATGAGCTCTCTTCAGGTATGAATTCTGTTGCTGCAGATCTTATACGGATATTACAAATCTATTCAAACATCTATAATTTGTTTTCTAAAAAGTCAAGTCTTTTTGCCTTTGGGTAACTGAAAATACCAAATCCGAGCTTTTAATGACTCTTGTAGCTATTTTGTCGAAAGCAAGCTGCGAGCTTCCCTTTTCGTACACGTAAATTTAAGAAGCTGAGTGAAGCTGGTCCTTGACCAGTAAAATTAAAGTTATTTTTTCAATTGTGGTGAATCAGAAGTGTTCTGTAGTACCTATTTGCCGAACATAAATGGATCTGACTTCCACTTATGTTATAAAATACATTCTTGAAAATGAAAGGGACAAGTTTTCTCATAGTTCCCTAGTGTATACCTCTGCTGTCCAAACCAGTTCCTAAATTGGAGAAAGAGCTTTAAGTGCTTTGGTAGACATTCCGACCGAAGCCGAAAAAAAATTAATAGAGTAGGAAATAGAATTATTTGTAAGGATTTACGCTTTAAATAAACACCGAGGAAATATGACTGTGAAAGAGTTTTCCCTGTGAGGTTAAGCACAATCTTAGCAGGGGAGAGGAAAAAAAAAAAAAAAATGGCAGCTCTTGCACTTCCCAGAAGAAAGTTCCGCGATTCCGATGGGTTGGTTAAAAACAGACCGAGAGGGACAATCTATCGGTTTATAAAGGCATTAATCTTCCAAAGACGGTCCGTTAAAAGGTGTAATATTTTGAGTGTTTACTTCTTTTTCCTCCTAAATGAGAACACTAAACGAGCATTGAGGTGCTAATAAGATACCAGATGGTTGTTGATGGTGGAAAATGGAAAGAAGCAGCTGGGAAAGTCATTAAGAAATAATGTGGTGACGCCCTATCCAAACTGAACCAACCTCAAACCAGGACTTGTCGGAAACAAGATGAGATTTTCAAATAAAATATTAATAAAATTCTTGTCAGAGATCAGAATATCGATCTTGATTTAGCTTGCAAAATCATGGCAAGCGAAGAGGGGGCTCGGTGAGCTATCGCCTACAGAGATCTGTTGACAAAGCAGCGGAGGCGGTAGGCTTCTACTTTTTGCGTTTTTCAGAGGGATCAGAGAAACAGATCAGACGAAACAGATTTTGTGCGGGGTATCTGAAGGGCTGCCTCTGAGTCGAGACTCGTTTTGACATCCCGCGGTTCCCAGCGCAGCATCAATTAGTTTGCGTTCCGGCTTTCGGTTGTTTTGGTTTCCCTAAATCACAGGCAGTCAGTCCCGCGTTGGTAACGGTTCCAACAACAACAACAACAACAACAAAAAAGAGTATATTAGGGTTTTAACCAAAACGTAGTGACTTCGCTTTTGGTGAGGAAAAGGGAGAAGGAAGACTTTTTTTTTTAAAAAAAAAAGGGGGTGGGGGTGGGGAGGGAA